ATTAGCTTATTGTTATGATGCTGCGTAAGATCATTTAAAAGAATAAACATCGAATAGACGTCTTGAAGCAATCGCGAGAGGAGAACGATGATTTATGAAGTCAAGTATAGTCGATGTAGCACGAATTCGTTTCGCTCGTGCTTGCACGACCGGGTCTCTTAATCAGAGGGTATTGTTCGGCCGTGTGCTTGTTCGGGTGAATATTGAAGCGGCAGCGAAAGGGTTGGCGCTTCGTTTCCTGGGGCAAACAATGTTCCTGACTGTTTCTACCCCCCTGTTTTAAAAGCCTGGCTTTGTCGCTCTACTTGATCTCGCAAAAATATTGTGATAACTCGAAGAATCACAAGAGTAGATATTCCAGCTGAAAAACCGGTTTTTATTGCATCTTCTTCTATTTCTGAATTATTAAAGGAGTAACTATTCTTGGAGAGAGACAAACTTTATAAAGAAATTTAATTGATAGAAAAAAAAGGTGTGCAGGAGAAAGAGGAACGTCAAAATTAATTTTATAATTATATTCTTGTTGACTGCGTTCAGTAGAAAAAAAACAGCATCTGTTGTAAGATTTTTTAATACGATTTGTTGTTGTTCTTAATTCTCTTCACTAGATCTAAGTATATAAACTAATACTATATAATCACATTAAAGAATCTTACAACTGTTGAGAAGCTGTTTTCCTACTGAACGTAGTCATTTTCTTAGAAAATGTAAATCTTTCTTTATATAAAGTTCTGCGTAAAAATTTTCAATGTTCCCGCTTATATTGTAAAGATATTTAAACAGAGGCAAAAGTGACTCTAATGGCTAAATTGTAATGCAAAGCATAAATCCAGTATATCCACCCGTTTCGGATTTCTTGTGTGCTCGAACACGTTGCTGTTTCGCAAAGCATGCTTTTAGACAAAGAGAGATATTGTTCGTTTCACTACCAAAACAAGATACGACACGTATATTACTACGTAATCAATGTCGGGCATCTAGTATCATTCTAGGCAGTATCGAAGATGCTTCAGTCGGCACGTTACGGTCCTTATCCAGATTCTTTGTTCTCGAGCACGTTCCGAGGAGAAGCTGAAGCTTTCGAGGATATTGCGAAATTAGATGACGACGTCGGCACAAATGTCATTCACGAATCACACATGTTTTCCTCTCACTTATTTGTGGATATTACTATTCTCCCCTCAAAACGATTCCAGATGAATACAGAAGATGCTAAATAGGAGGGATAGAATGAGAATCGCGAGATGAAAGAAAGGCACAATATGAAAGATGTGAAATTATAGAGAAGGACGTGCTTATGAAAGAGAATAGGATATAAAACTCTTTTCAAAAATAATTTAATAAAATAAATTGAGTAGAAAAATTCCACGATCTGATTTTAAATCCAAATTTAATAGATTAAAATCTAATAGAAAGAGCTTCTTGTGTCGACCGGATAGCTATCGTCTGGAACACAAGAATAAGATTATGTCAGAAAGAAGCATAAAATCAATTCGATACGCGAATGGAGAAAGAAATAATAATTGGAGCAATATCTCTCTTCGTAGATTCATCCCGATACCCGCCAGAATAATAACTCGATAAAAATCGCAAATTTATGCAAATTTATACTCGAGCGAGCTTTTCTCTTTCGCTTTTATATCTTTTATACTTTCGTCAGGGGAGCTCTGGGTTTCCTTTTCACAATAGTTTTGAAGGACGCTCAGACGTCTGTTTGATTAAAAAACTAGATATATACGAGAGATTTTTAATATTCTCTTCTTGTCTTGATTACGATCGAAGACAGACTCAGATGTTCCCTCCATTTCCGTCTTTTATCATGTATAAAAAATATATTTTATATTTAGCTAAATTATTAATTGCGAAAAGTTACAAAAAAATATAAGACACCCGCCTGCGATATCAATTATTAAAATAGGAAGGATATACAAAATTTAATTATTATTTATAGAAAGCATCCCGTCACGTTGAAAAACGATTGAATTCTTGAAATAAAATGTAGGGTATATGAATTCTACTGGGATAAAAGTCGCTTATGAAAATGCAACGAGTGCATTAGAAAAGCTCGACGTCTTGCGTTCTTGTGCATTTGTAACACGTGCACTTTTCATAATAGCTGCATACATAACCTAAAGGATAAGAATGTCGGATTACGTGACAAGCTTCTCTTTGTTTCTTTTTCAGCGGAAAGCAAGTGGGAGGAATTGCATCCGGGCGGCGAAAGACCGCCGGCTCTTCAGGAACATAGCGCGGTGGCGTATAAGGATTGCCTCTACGTTTTCGGCGGCGAACTGGGTTTCTCTGCGGGAACGGAGACGCCACTCTGGGTTTATAACGTCAAGGTGATACTTCGCAAAATATAATTGTAGAAATGCAATTGCTTCTGTGAAAATAGGAATTAAGTCGCGAATAATATCGTCTGTAAAATCCCTTTTATAGGGATAAATATCAGTGTACGTTCCCACTTCTGATAACGATCTCGACAGCTAGCGTTGTACTACTACATTGAGAAAACTCTTAATAATCTTCCCTACGACGAGGGGAGTCTCGTCGAGAAAGCAGCGAGAACGAGAGACGAAAAAAATCGCACCCTCGAGAAACGTTGCTTAATCGATAGCAACGTCACCGGTTACGAGTTTTACGCGGTAGCGTGTCACTTTCCCTTGCCTCTGTGGTGACACAGAGGGATGATTTTAGCAATGGGTGACAAGCTGCCAAGGACAACCGAGGCTCATCCTGCCAATAGTGACTCGCGAATCGAGCACGTGCAGAAATTCACCGAGCTACCGTCGTTATCCTGTTGTGCTCCATGCATTGTCCAAGCACTCCTTAGGGAGAATAATACGTGCGACACGAAACGAGCAAGACGGGGGTGGTTGGCCTCTTCCGTTTACGAGGGAAACGTCTCGCGTGCAGAAAATCAATCTTGTGAAATGAGCGAAGCTCGGAATCGATGCTGCTTGTTGTAAATTCTTGTAAACGGGACTGATCTATTATGGACTTCGACCAATTTCAGCTTACGAAAATAACATTTCCTAATAATTTACCTTTCCCACATGAGAGGTCTTATTATTATAACGTTACAGTAACTTTAATTTGCGTTTTAACAAAGAATTTTGTTTTTAACAAAAGATGTACATACAATATTTTAATATTTTGTAATATGCAACTCATACGCTTATTACGTCTACTATTATTGCGTCATTTATATAGTTAAATGATTACATTATTTTAGTGTAATCAGATAATGGAAGAGTTATATATTGTGGTGTTAGATTTTTTTTTACTTATTTACATTGTTTAAATTGGTATGAGATTATAATTTGGATCTATATTCGGGTACACCTCAAATTTAAAGGAAAGGGAAAGGTATCGATGCGCGATATTGTCAATCAACTTTGGCGCAGTGGTCCAAGATTGCCCTCCGTCTCGTTTACTAAATCGAAGGGTGCAAACCTTCCTCCTGATCACCGAAACAGCCATGGCGATTGCCCAAAGGCTATACGGAGGCTGCTCGTCGTCTTATTTAATCAGACCGCATGGATCGTTCTTAACTAAATCTTGATAATAAATTCAATTGATATCTTAATAGAGAATTTTAAATAAAACATATTATTCTCTCTCTCTCTCTCTCTCTCTCTCTCTCTCTCTCTCTCTCTCTCGCGGAAATATCTCGGAAACATATTGCAAACATCCGAAATTAAATAAATAAATTTAACTAGTATACTAATTATCATCGTATTTCTTTTATAAAATCTACTTTTATAAAATCTACATACAAGTCATCAGAAGTCTACGTCATGAATTTATTATGATACGTTGAGTATCGTCTGTCTGGAAATTAATTTTCCGACTTTGATATAATATATTGCGTTCTCGATTGTTGAGAGAATAGCTATATGTATAATGCTTCATTCATATTAAGAGAATGACAAAAACGCATTAACAATCGATAATGAATGAGTTTTTTCCTCGATAGAATAGTATCAACTGGCATTACATACATTTTCGAAGATATTACTAGATTGCAATCGATCTCTAGAATATATATGTAGTTGCGATATTGGATCTCAATAATTTCAAAATATCAACTTGATGATTTCCTAAGCAATTATTAGCTAATAAATGATTATAGCCTATGTAATAAATTCATGTGATTTAAGCTATCTCTAATATGTTAATTAAATTTTATATAACTCTCATTTATGATAAATCTCGCGATAAAGAAATATCGACGGGAAAAGAACTGAAAATTTTTGGAAAAATCTAATTGAAATATTTTTTTAAGTAAAGAAATGATACTTAAAAAGTTATGAATATAAAAATAAATTAGTAATTTTAATAAGCTAATTACATATCATAAAATTAATTTGAAGAAAAAACGTAAGCACATTAATTTTATTGACATATATACTATATAAAATCAATCCTCCCTTTCTCTCTCTCTCTCTCTCTCTCTCTCTCTCTCTCGGCTTTTTGAAAATATAGATATATATAATATATATATTTATGATATTATAAAATTTTATGTTGACTCTTATTCACTTTTCTTGTGCGACAGTGTTAACATTTGTGCTGACGTGTCCTCTAATTTCATACAAAATTTAGAGATACATCTTTCGCGGGGCCTTCAAGAGCAATTTAAGTCGAGGGTGGTTTTTGGCAGCAGCTGGTGTTAACAGGCTTTCTCTCCGATTCATACCCTTGAAACCAGGCAGGGCTTCATTTTCCCAAGGGTAGTTGCTACTCACGTACGAGGCATTAAAAATTAATAAGTCCGTATCAAACGTAGGATGCGAAACATCACGCGTCATCAATTCGTTCCATCGGTTATTTTCTTTTTTTAAGATAGAAAAGTTGAAATATTGGTTTTTTTTATTTAAGAAACCGTACATCTATAAATTTATATTTTAATTCTATTAATAATTAAATAAAATTGTTTAATTTTATTCATGTACATTCTTTTACTACAAATCTACAAATTTGCACTAAATTGCATTGTATGACTTGACACGCGCTTTAATATTAGGCGAATAATTGTTCAGTCACATCTAATTTTCCTTCGTCAGCAATGGTTGATTATCTCTTTCACTCGATAGATTACATCCACCGCGTTATTCTGATGATCTCTTTTACTTCAGTTTTCATTGTTTGCGAGAATGTACCTTATCCTTTCGCTGTCTCATTCCTCTTTAAATAAACATTATTGGATTCAATGAAATGTTTTGTTATTTTAACATATGACCTTTGCTTGATGCTAATAATGTAAGCTTCAAATTTTACAAATTATATAAATGAAGAAGAATATTTTGTTATATTCTATTAAATGAAACAAAATTATAATGAACGGGAGAACGTCAATTCTTTTTCTATCGTATTTTATCCCGAAATTTTTTGGGTCGCGTTACCATGGTTACTCTTGGTCCACTTGTTTTTAATCATTGGACCATGGAGGAAATACGAATGTATCCCTTCGCCGTTTCTGTCTGTTCGCTGTGTATTATTGAAATCTGCGTTTCGAATGCGTCAGACAAACCTGATTGGTTAAGCCGGAGGGTTGCTCGGCGCGTTTGTTCTCTCCCTTTCTTTACCTCCCTGTCTCTTTCACTTTCCCTCTGTGTACTTCGTTAAAACTCTACCTTGTTTTCAGAATAGAAAGTGAAGGAAGGCGCGTATGCTGTAGCATTCCATTTTCTTTACAATTGTAAATTTATGACAAAATTCTTTAAAATTCCAGAGTAACGAAGATTTTTACATTACGATAATTTGTAATAAGATTAATATTTATTTGAATCTTTTTACGATTCATAATTTTTTTTTCAAAAATTCATATCATAAAGCGTCAGTTATTCTATTATAATATGTAACAAAATATGTATTCATAAACACTAAATATCTCGAGGGTAGTAGATGTATTCATGACTTCCTTGCAGAATGGAATGGACACCGGTAGTCCTTTTTTTAATGCGTAATGACAATCTTTACCTCGGGGTAATGTCTGTCCCGAAGCACGTTGATTTCTGTATCCCTATGGTACGAGTATGTCAAAGAATAGTTGCAGAGATAGCCGTTGCCAGCTAAGAGTGTCGAAAGTAATTACATAAAGTGCGCGTCTAAAGCCGATGGATTGAAGCTACTTGATCATCTCTTGGGTGAATCTGAAATTGATACTGGAAACTTGTATCTCGTCCTCATCTCAGTTATAATTCTCATTACGCGGAAGGGAATGATCCTCTCGAGTGTATTCACCGGACAGTTATACGGCCCACTTGTTCATGTTGCAATTCCATGAACCATGGTATTTCGAAAGAAGAAGGCTAATGCGATTTTAAAACGCCAGTTGATACGCACGCTGAAATTTTCTGCTAGACTAAGCGATAAATCTCTTCGAGGAGGAGAGGCAACGTATTGATTTCATCGATATGTGTAAATATATTGGACACGCGAAGAATACTTTTTTCTGGGGCACACTTTTCATGGAAATTGTTCCAAGGTAACGGCAAGATAAAAATAAATCTACTATCCATCTATATAACGATATTTGAATATTCTTACATGAATTACTAAGAATTATAAGTCTTTTAATAGTATCGTATAATGCAGAACTGTTTAAATGAAATATCCCTATCGTACATTACAGACTTGACAGAATATTAAAGGTATTATCAATGTTACATATGTATAATCTTATATATATAAAGTTAAATATAATAATCCCATATATGTATAACAAATAAGCGAAGATCATAATCAGAGAAGGTTTTACTGTCTAATAACATTTTTGTGTGAATTCCATATGTATTTTTCGAATTATTTATCCTATTTCAAACGCATATATTCTCTGATACATTCACGTTACTATCAGAAGAGTAGTGTGTCTCAACGCT